GGTCACAGAGACAGGTGAACGGCAGGAGTGGAACCCCCTTGCGCTCTGAGAATTCAAATGGGATGCAGGCCCCTTGACCCTCTACGCAGATGGTCTACACTGCAACCAAAGTCTGCTTGGGCTGAAGAAGGGGCGCCCTGATAATGCTGCAAGAAGCCAGGAAAACCAGCCCTTCCAGCAGAGATTCAAACATCCCAATTAAAAAAAAATCAGACCGGTCACACACGCGTGCATACACACAGCTTGACCCCAGCAAAGGTGCTGCCTGCCTGCCTTTGAAACCCAGAGAAGGGGAAACCAAGAGGGTGAGGCCTTTTGCAGGAGGCAGAATTGGGGGAGGGAGGGGGCTAGCCTGCCTTCTCCTCTGCTTCCCGAGCCCAAAGAAGGGACCTCTTGGGGACCCTCTTCAGCTGACTTTGCAACAGGCAGCCCGCCCAGACCCTGGGGCTGTGGGTTCTGAACCTGTGGCCCTCTGAGAGGGAGCCCGGAGCCCGGCAAGCAGCCTACCACTAGCAAGACGGCCCCTGCAGTGGCCCATGGAACCACTGCAGCCGGAGGGCTCTGTGACATCGCCGGGAACGCAGGCGATGTTCCAGAGGAACTTCTCAGTAGGAAGGCAAGGGTATCGGCGACCTTGGCTTCTTCCTCCCCAAAAGGCAGAAGTTTCACAGACCCAGAGGTGACCCGCTGTGACCAGAGGAAGCCTCTCAAGGGCTGGTCTCTGGATCCGGAGCCATCAGGGCAGCTGCTCCTAGGCCCTGATAAGCGTTTCAAGCCCAGAGGCAGGGAAGAAAAAAGAGTTCCTCCCCCCCACCCCACCCCACCCCAGGTTGCGGGTGTCCTGATTCCTCAGCGTGAAAAGATGTGGCGGGGTGGGAGTGTGAGGTCACTCTCAGAGTCTGTGGCTGGAAGGACGTCTTTTGCAATAAAAGGACTTCTTTCCACCAAGAGCAGGGTTACATTAGGAACTTTATTGTTCTCATCTTACAACGTCCCGTCCAGCAAGCGAGTTCCTCCCCTGGAGAACAGACTGCAGAGAACAGACTGCAGGGGACAGGCAAGCCACAGTCCTGTGACGCACACCCTCTTCCTTACAATCAGCCTGTGAGGTGTGTCTTGATTCGCCTTCCACGCGACCTGCCAGTTTATGTGTCTGCTCTGCCTCCTCTGGGGATAGTCAAGCAGAGGCCAGAGGGAGGTGACCCAGCGGAGGCTGGCTTGATGGGCAGGGAGGCTGGCAAGAACCCTCCCGGGATCCTCCTCTATACCCCCAGAGCCAGCCCCGACTGCCATCAAAGGATGTTCTTTTCTCACCAGCCTGACAGAGGGTGGCTCTGCTCTCCTGGGGTCCCATTTCGCTCCAGCCGGCAGGGCTCCTGCAGCTTCCCGGTGGGTCTCTGTAGCCCCACAGCCCCCAACGGTCACCTTTGGGGGGGGTTCTCAGTTAGGCCGCATAGGGGCTCTTTGGGTTCCACTTGTGCCGGGAAGGGCCTGGCCATGCAGGATGAGGATGAAGCTCACTTGCTTCTCCAGGAAGAGCAATCGGAGATAAGAGTTCCTGCTGGCAGCTGGAGGGGTGCCTGAGCCAGGCTTTCCATGGTCTTGGAGGAGGGTCTGACCGTTCGTTCCCCAAAGGACAAGTGGAGAGCTGGGGCTCCTGGTCCCTTCACCCTCCAGGTCCAGCCGCCTCCCGGTCTTGAGAGTCAAGGAGAAACCACAGGCCGAAGAGGGCGGGTGGCACCACGGAGGTTCCTCCCCCTTCTTAAGAGGAGGGTTCAAGGAGTTGGCTGGCCACCAGTTTCTCAGGACGCCTCTCTCCCTACTGCCTGGGTGGAGGAGGCGGATGTACGGATCAGGTCCTGTGGGAGGCTCTCCCTGGCCTCCTGCATCCGGCGCCGGGCCCGCTGGAATGCCTCTGAAACCGAGGAGGAGGAGACCGGGGGTGGGGAGGGGGAGAGAAGAGGGAGGGAGGGATGCGAAGGGAGATTCAGCTAAAGAGTGGATGAAGGAGCCCCCCCTCCCCACTTATTCCAGGGCAAGTTCTGCATACATGGTAGCCCAGACTCACAGCTAAAAAACTCCAAACAGCCCTTTCTGAATATATTATGCAAAGTTACAAAGCTTATCTCCAGGCCTTACCAAGAGGAAGGGCAAGGAGAAGGCAGAGAGCCAGAATTGCCCCCCCCCCGAGAAAGCTCTGCTCCACCACCCTCCTCCGTTTTCACCTCCCAGTTGCAAAGACTTCGCCTTTCAGACTGGTAACATGAGAAAACCTAACTTAATTTCAAACCCATGTACATGTTCAAAAGATGAGAAAAGGACAAAACCGTTCCACATTCAGTTGCCTAGGTATGGATCCTGCGCAGATTTCCAAACCATGGAAACCATCCCTCCCCAGCTCACCCAGGATGTTGTAGAGGGAGCCGTGGTGGCTGAAGCCCCCCAGCCGGTCCAGGACGCTTTTCATGCGCTTCCTCATGGAACTGGATTCCAGGAAAGCCCTGCCAAGAGAGAAAGAATAAGCATCTGCCTCTTCTCCTCCCTCTCGGCCACCTCCTTCACTGTCTACTCGTGGGCTTCCTGGAGGCACCAGGCTGGCCTCTGCTGCCGTGGGTCAAAGCCTGGACTCTGAGAAACTCGGCCATGTGCTTTGGGGGTGGGGACGATGGACAGCAAGGTGATGCTGAGGTTCAAAACAACACACACAGCGGGTCTACCATGGTTGAGTTTCTGTCCAGGAGAAGGCCAGCCGTGGGAGAACTGAGCCAGAGGAAAGATTCAGAGGGGGAAAGAGCCAAGCTGGACCCCAGAAAAAAAGACCCCTGGCTCAGATCTCTCTAAAAGGGGGGGGGAAGGACCCCCACCATCTCCCCCACGTCACTTCCCACAGCACTTCCTCCCAGCAGGAGGCTCACCTCGACTGCTGCAAGCAGTTCAGCTGGAAGGTGACGCTGCCCGTCGTTTCTGTGCGGAAGCCAAACCGACTGAGGCGGTCGCCCTGCGCGGAGGAGAGCCCAAGGTTTCCAGGTGAGCCCAGTCCGTCTCCAGACCCTTCCTCCTCATTCCAAGTCTCCCCCCCTTCCCTCTCCACTAAAGAGCCACAGAGGCCAGCTATAGGACACCCAGAGCAAAGCGACAGGACAGGCCTCCCCGCACGGATCCTTACTGTGAAGGTGCACGGCACACGGGTGTAGGTCAGGTCCTCCAGTTCTGGGGATCCCCCGATGAAAAATCTCTGCAGCTCCGAGAGGGTGCCTGGCTCCACAGGGCGCCAAGTGGAAGCTGTCTCAGTGTGAGTCCCTAGATCACAAGGTTTGGGAGGCGGGAGCCACAATGCAGGAGGGGTGAAAAGGTTCTCTAGCCCTTCCGTCCCACAATCGGTGTCAGAGCATGGGGAACTGCCTAAGACCAGAGAGTCTGGTTTTGAGCCTCAGCAATCAGCTGAGAAGCAAGCTTCGGGCGCCTTGGGGGTCGTCAACTTTTCTCTTCCAACGCACCTCCATTCCTTTATGGGTATCTAGACCTGTGGAAGTACTGCCTGCAAAACTCTCTCTCTCACACAGCTTCCTGCTGGGAAGATGTCTCAGTGATTCTCTTACAGGGCAGGCTGCAGCTCTAAGCACAGGAGCAGCCCAAGGAAAGAAGATGGCAATCCTTTGGCCAAGGAAGTTCTAATGGGATGGCCCATGGCCCTCTCCAGCTAGGAGAGATAATGGGAGGCGCTTCCTTTCTGCTGTCTGAAAAAGGGCGTGGGCTTGGCGATGGTCACGGGGAGGGCAAGGGAGGGTGCCAACGCATTTCTGGTGGGAGGCCCCTCACCTTGGAGCCTGGCTCCCCTCCGCCCTCTTACCTGGCGTGGACGGGAGCACCACAAAGCCGTAGCCCTCGACGCGGTACCTCTGCCAAAAATCCAAGGACAGGACCTCGAAGTACAGGACAGGCCATGAGGGGAAGGATCCTGGGGCAGGAAGGGCAGGAAGAGAGGGCCAGTGGCAGGCTGGGCTCCCCGGGGATCCCCAGACCCCTTCCCAGGAGGGGAAGAAGAGGACTCCACCAGAAAGGGAACCCGCCAGAGGTCCAAGTTCAGCTCCAGATGACCACCAGAGCTGGCTCGGAGTTTCTAGGCCTTCCAGCCTGCCTGACACTTGTGTTAACGGGGACTTGGGTCCTTTCAGATGAGAAGCCAGGCCAGAGAATTATCCGTGTCTTTTCACTCTTGGCTAGATCTGAGGCCTGAGACAGGGCAGGTCTCGGGGCTCACCTTCCGACTCTTCCTCTTGGCTGAGGAACAGCTCCAGGGTGAAAGGGAAGGAGAAGAAGGCCACCCGGTCCTGGGAAGAGAAAGGGCAAAGTCAGTCCTGCTAGGGAACCACCGGCTGCCTGTGGTGACCTGGGGGGAGGAGGAGGCCAAGGACGGGCCAAAACAGGGCCCCCCTGCCCTGGGAGAGCATTGACACCCCCTTCCTGAAAGACAAGAGCTGGGAGCTTCACTTTCAACACTCAAGTATCCCAGAAATCCAAAGGCCACCCTTTGGGAAGCGGTTCCAAGCGCCGCCTGCTCCAGGGATGTGAAGGAAGCAGGGGGCCCAGGGGGTCTGCCCCTTCAGCATGTGCCAGATAGAAAAACCAGGCCTGGGGAGCGCTGCCCCTTGGTAGCTGGCTTCGGGGCTCAGGTCCCTGTCCCCCCACTCACCCTGCCATGTGTCTTGGTAGCACAGGTCTGCGTCACTCTGGAGAGCTGCTGGGAAGGGGGACACGACCAGCCTAGGGGGAAGCGAGCGAGCAGAAGGGTGAATGGAGCAAAGGTGCAGGAGTGGATTCAGGTGGGACCTTGGGGAGCAGGAAAGCTCTGGACCCTCCCCACCACCACTGCCTGGCAACAGATCAAGCCAGGAGAAGGCTGTGGGGCTCCAAACTTCCTGTCCCCCATTCCTCCCAGCTTATGCCCGTCAGTCAAGCCACGGGTAGATCACCTCCTTCATTCCCTCAACTAGATTCCTGGGCCAACCCCGAAGGCCCAGTTGACCCAGTTCACTCACCACTGGGCAGCTCCAGGAAGAAGTGGACGTAGAGGTTGTCATACTCGTAGCCCTGGGCGGAAACTAAGAGACAGAAAGGGAGAAGCACTGACGGCCTGAACCTTCTCCTCGGAGATCTTGGACCTCCGGGGCTCCCCTCTTTCTTAATTGATTTCTTTACAACATTTCTGTGCCGCCTTTCTCCCCAAAAGGGCCTGAGTTCCCGGCCTGAGGACGACTTTCGGGGATCAGAAGACAGCCCAGCAGGCGACCAGGCTCACGGGGTGTGCTTCTCCTGCCCCAAAAGGGAGAGGAGTCATTTCTGGCTGGTGGCGGCCAATGCCTCCCTGCTGGAAGAAAGGAGGCTTTTCTGTGCCGCCTTTCTCCCCAAAAGGGCTTGAGTTCCCAGCCTGAGGATGGCTTTCGGGGATCAGGGCCAGGCGAAGAGAGCCCAGCAGGTGACCAGGCTCATGGGGTGTGCTTCTCCTGCCGCAAAAGGGAGAGGAGTTATTTCTGGCTGGTGGCGAACAATGCCTCCCTGCGGGAAGAAAGGAGGCCGGGCCAGAAGCAGGATGAGACCCCTTGGCAGGAGTGCTGGGAGGGTCACAGCTTGAATGCTGTCAGATGCCCACCAAAAGCAACCACCACCCAGGGCTGCTCTTCTCTCTCTCTCTCAAGGCGAGGGGAAAACGTGAGACGAAAGAGATGTGTGGGTGAGAGCGAAAAACCTCAAGAGGATCACTTACCGATTTCCCCGTTAACAATGAGCCGGAGAGTCCCGGGAACAGTCTGGGAGGGGGGGGAGAGAGAGAGGGAACCCAATTCAGAGAGGGGCTGTCACTCGATGTGTACAAGTGCCTGCCCTGTTCTCAGGAGGTCCTGAGTTCAATTCCTGCCTGGTTCAGCTCAAGGCCCTTCGCTCGTTGGTGGGGGGGGATGCATCCCCTGCTGAGCCCCCCAAGGAAGAGCGGGCTGCCACCGACAAGGCTGCTGAGCCAGACCAAACAGCAATTACACAGGGACCCCGAGTTTCAGGCAGCTCAACCTATTGAGAGGTTCTCCATAGGCATGGGGGAGGGAAGGGAGCAGAGGGAAAACCCAGGGCTGCTGCCCCCAAAGCCCTCAAGCCTCCTCGAAAGGGCCACCAAGCAACAGGAGACCAGAGGTAGCCTCAGCTCATGTTCTTCCCTGCAGTCACAACAAAGGGGAGGTCCTGACTTGAATATGTGAGTCTTCCTGCCCCCTTTCCACCCGCTTTCATAATGTTATGAGTGCAGAAGAGAAACCAAGGATGGGGCAGAGTATGGAGGAGATCCATGGGGGGGACGTGAGGAAATGTGGGGAGGGAGGGCAAGCTCAAGGGGCCACCCCCTCAGCCCCCACTGATGCGAGCCCCTCTCCCCAGACAGCCTGGGAACGGTGATCCCAACAAGCGAGTTTCAAAAGCTTTGCTGAGATGCTCTTGCTCCCCCCCCCAAAGCAGAGGAGCCACCAGCTCAACTCCCCTCCTGCCCAGAAAAGGGCCACCCCCTGCACGACCTGGCACTCTTTTGCCCTGGCAGGAGAGGAGAACTCAGTGTGGAATCTCTTGAGTCTGCCTTTTGGGTCGGGTGGTTCTGAACCCACCTCCACAGGCTGGAGGCCAGCAGGTCGTTCTGCCTGGGAAACAAGAGCCCGGCTTCTGGGCGAGTGGAGGGACCGCCTCCAATCAAGGAGGAAGATGCCCTTTCTGCAAAGCGTCACTCACCATCTCAAAGTCAGAGCCAACGAGACCCTCGAGGTACTCCTTGTGCCGGCTGTACAGCTGAGGAAGACAGCGGGAGAAAATCAGCTGGGAGAGAGGGGGGGATCCCTGCCCTCTTTCTCTCCTACAGGAGCTGCCAGGAAACCACAAATCGCCTCCCTGCCCACACCACCACCAGCCCACAGACAACGGCAGCCTGGGCAAGATCTTACCAGAGGCACCCGTCGAGCCTGGCAAACTGCTAGCTGCCCATTTCTCAAGGCCTGATTCCAACTCACGTCTCAGGTTGCAGTGAGCTTAATCTCCCATGCAACCCCCCCCCCCAAAAACACACAACAATCTACAGAGGAAAAAGAGCAGCCCTTACGTCCTTGAAGATGTGATGCTCCCGGTCCTCCTCCTCATCCCCCGCTGGGGACGAGGCGTTCTCCAGTGTGAAGGTCCACACGTCTCGCTTCTCCCCTTCTGGTTGAATCCTTCAGAGCCCAGACGGCACAAAAGACTCAGAGAAAAAAGGATGGGGAGGAAGAGCCCCGGAAGGTCTCTCTGTTCTATCTCCCCACCACCCACCCTGGGCAAGCCGCTGCTTCCCCCCCTCCCCAGAGCTGCTCACCTGTAGGGACCTTTGGTGCCCGTGAAGTCCGGCCTGATGGTCAGGACGCCGTTGCTGTCCGCCTTGATGGTGCAGAGCACGCGTTCGTACGCCCTGGAGCCAAGTCTGTGGGGACAGCAGGAGGAAGGAGGGGACTGGGGCACTTGGTATGCCCTGATTTGGGGGGGGGCAGAGCAAGAGTGGAGCCACAAAACGCCGGGCACCTCAACCAGAAAGTGTGGCCTGGGAGACGGGTAAGTGGCAGGGAATCTGATCCAGGCACCACAGCATAGAGGCTTGGCCTGTCTGGATTGCAGTTCCTTCCCCCCCCCCACCACCCCAAACATGACCTCCCAGCAGCCTAGGGATTCCCCCACCCAGGGCTTGTCCTGATGTTGGCTGGAATGGCCTCCAGAGAGAGAGAGATGGCGGCCTTCTCTCGAGCCAGACCAACTGACTGGGTGTCGCAGCGTTCCTCCCTTTCAGGCAGGAGTCTTCCGAAGCCGCACCTGGAGAATCCCCTGCTGGTCTCCCATCCAAGGACTCACCTGGCCTGACCCTGGCTCAGCTCTTAAAAGTGTGTTCAGGGTGACATGAGGTCAGGGTGACGCCACTCCAGCCGCTGTCTGGCTTCCCATGCCACGCTCGCATGGACCCCAGGTGGGCATGCGTCGCTGAGGGGCTGGGGCTGCCTTGAGAACGAGCCCTAGAGGCTCTTGGGGGGTGGGACACAAAATGGGCAGATGAGGCCAGCAGGGGCCGACAGGGGCTGACTTACTTGCCGGGGGGTCCCAGGTCTGCCATGATGTACATGGTCTGCACAGGGGTGTTGAGGACGTGGCTGTTCCGGACAAACTCCTTGGAGGGCTCCCAGTTGATGATGTGGGATTTCAGGCCCCCTCCTTCCCTGCCGAGAAGGGAGGGAGAAGGCACGGTTGCCCACCAGAGAGCATCCTTCCTTCCACTTCACAACCAAGAGGGGACGTGGGAGAGGAGACCCAGAATCAGGGATTCCCCCCCCCAAAAAAAAGCCAGGCCCTGCTCCCAACTCACAGGGGCCTCCTGGGCTCCTGTCGCCGCCGCTGCCTGACGTTGGCCATTCTCTCCGCCAAGTAGGAGGGGACGTCCTGAGGGGACGTGGTCACCCGCTGGCAGTGCTGGAAGGAGGAGAGAGAGCTTCAGTTAGGCACCTTCCCCTTGACTCGATTCTCCCCTCTGTGAAACAGGCACGATCTGGAACAGCTGGAGGTCTGGACAAAGCAGGCGTACCTCCTCCTACAGCGACCTGAGCGGCCACCTACCGTTCAGCCAGACCACTTGGCCACCTAGCCCCTGGCCTGGCTTGAGCTGACCAACAACCAGGGCTCCCCACGGTTCCCTCCTGGCCTCCCTCCAGAAGATTCGCAGAAGCGGATCCCGTGTTGCTTCCGAAAGCAGGCGAAAGCCAGTGTGTCCACGCAAGGTCACACAGGCCAGTCATCCCCACCCCGTGCAAAAAGCAAGCACCTCCTCCAGGTCGGTGAAGCGGTCATGATCTGTGTAGGTGAAGATGCGGGAGTTCCTCCGACCTCCGGTCTCTTCCATCTTCCGGATGTCCTGGTGGTACTGGCGGTCGAGGGGGCTCTGGCAGGCAGAGGCATTCCGGTAGAGATCCACCTCAAACTGGGAGAGGCACAGAAAGCCGGGGATGTGGGGCGGCCTCAACCCTCCTCTCCCCAGCACCACCGAGTGCCAGGGCCAGAGGAGGAAGCTGTAGAGATGGTCTCTCCCTGGGGCCTCTCCCTCTCCCTTTGGAGGTCCAGACTATCCATCCCAGGATGGGAGGTTCTGAGCTGAAGTTACAGGGGTGGGAGGGGGGCTGCTATCTAGGTCAGCCACCCACAGGCCACCCTCTAGATTAGCTTCAGCCCATCAGCTTACATCCAAGAGCTCTCAGAAACCACGGAATAGGAGGGACCTTAAAGGAAGCCCCCAGGTCTCCGTCTCACCCAACCACAACCTGATTCAGCCTCAGACAAAGCCAGGCTTCCTCCCCTCCCAGGAAGCACATCAGGACCTGATCAGGAGGTGCAAAGCCAGGAGGCGTGTCTGCCAGATGCTGGGAAAAACACATTATCATCGTTGCTGCTGCTATTGCTACTGCTTAGATTGCTTTCTCGCTCCTTCTTCCACTCACCGAGCTCTCCTGCCTACTTAGACCCCTGCAAGGTAGGTCAGGCTGAAGGGACGGAGCCCATATCGACTAGGGTGGTGGTGGGTCGGCTCATGGGCCCGTGGTGACTTGGTTGCTGCTGCTATTGCTACTGCTTAGATTACTTTCTCGCTCCTTCTTCCACTCATCGAGCTCTCCTCCCTACTTAAACCCCTGCGAGGTAGGTCAGGCTGAAGGGACGGCACGGAGCCCATATTGACTAGGGTGGTGCTGGCGGTGGGCGGACTCATGGGCCAGTGGTGACTTCAAAGTGGACCTCCTTGGTTGCCATCCAGCGTCTCCACCTGAAGGGCTCTGCCTTCCCTTTGAGGCCCAGATGGCTTTGCACGGCATCCTGCCTTCCTTCAGAAAGAGGCCGAGGGCACAGATTTGACAGCCACGGTGTTAAGGCAAGTGGTGCCACAGAAACCAGCAGGCAACGGCAGGGGGAAAGTGGTGCTTTGATAGAGGAGGATTAGAGTCAAGGGACAGCCCAATCTTTCTAGAATCACATGGACCAGGGCAGGCTGCTCACCTCGGATGGCCTTACCGGATAAACAAAGGGAGCATGACAAGAGCCTCTGGGAAGCACTGGGGGGAACAGGTAAGACGAGTCCCTCACCTGACTAAAGAGTTTCTCTTGCCAACCAACCACCACCTCTTCCTTCTCCTCATCAGGATGATGGTCCTCACCTACAACAGACCGGGGAAATTGTGTGTGCATGTGGGTCACCAAAGTTACAAGAGCACAGAGGGTGGGACTACAAGGGGCGAGAGGAAGAAAACACAAGCAGACAGGCTAGTGGCATGTTTTGCCTTCCGGGGGTCAAGCAGAGACTGTGTCTGAAGCCCTGGTTCTCAAGACTAACTGCATCACGGCTCTCCAACACAAAATACTCTCAGCTCTAAGCACCAGCCAGCTTGAATGCCTGCCTGTGCCTGCCAATGAATGGGAACAGCCCATAGTGGGGAAATCCTGACCCTTTGGCAGAGCGGCCATCAGCCTGGGTAGGGGCAAAGGTTGTCCTCAGTCGTCCCCACCCCTGACACAAAGAGAGAGAGAGAGAGAGAGGAAGCCTAATGCACTCACCTGCCACATTTTGTGGGCTGAAAGTAGTCAAGCCAATGAGCTGCTGGCTGAAGGATGGCTGCTGGAGCCGCTGCAGGAGGAGGCTTCTGGAGGTCACCCACTGGATCCGGACCCTACCATGGAAGAAAGTAAGCACCGCCGTTAGCAGAGCCAGGAAGAAGAGCATAAAACTGCAAAGGATGCAGAAATCAAAGCGCTTTCCCAAACGCTAAATCCAACTGACTCAGCAGAGGATCCAGGCAACATCACGGGGCACTAAGAACAGCAAACATAAATGTCTTTCAAGAAAGAAAGCTTCACTTTTTTTAAAAGCACGATCTATTTATTCCATATATTTCTATTTGGGATCTCTATTGACGCGGCCCCAATTTTGTCAGTGTGTCAGCAAGAAATCTTCCATAGTGCTTGTCCCTCCTGTTTCTTTTTGGAAACAGGTGCCTTTTAGGGACCCCAAGATGCATTGCACCTAGGAGGGACACCTGAGGGAGGGGGTGACCTATACAGAAGGGCACCCAAGGCTGTCATCCGGCTAGAAGCCCCTGAGCCCCTCTTAGGGTGTGTCCCTTTGCACAGGCATTTTATATACGTATAGAGAAATTAAATTTTCTTGCGGGGCGGTAATCACAAGAAAGAGCACATTTTTATTATGTAACCTTGTTCTTGTTTATTGTGGGTGGAGAAAGTCTCTTTAAGTAGCAGGTTTTATCTTTCATTCTCTGGCACTTTGTTACCAACGTGTTACTATTTTAAACAACCTTTTACATTTCGCAAAACATTTAACGAATAACATCCTCTTTCTTTCCACCCTCAAAAGATTGGAGCAGGATTTCTTTTGTAAGTTTACTGAAACGGGGATTCTACCAATATTACTAATATATATGAACACTTTTTATTTTTTGGTTGAGAGGCATCTGATATTTGCTCTGAACAGCTACTGAAAATCACCTCCAAGGGGGCTTTTGTTTTGCAGTGCGGATGCTTTTTGCTCTCCCTTGAGCTTGCCTGACAGAGAAACACCTCCAGTGTCTTGCGTTTTCACTTTTTAAAACCAGGTTGGGGACTCTGCGGCCCTCCAGATATTTCTGGGCTGTGAGTTCCCTTCTCACTCTCCCCCCCGGCCTTTGATTGCAGGGGCTCATGGGAGTTGTAGTCCAGGGGAACCACACATCCGGCTGCGCCAGTTGAAACAAACAGCCCAGTTCCCTCCCAATCCACACCAGTTTCTGGCCCCTATTTCCCTCCTTTTGCAACTTAAGAGAATAATTTGTGAATGAAAAAAACTAAAATAAATCCTGCCCCCTTGCAAAGGGGTTATTCTGCATTAAACCTGTTGCTGCCAAGGAATTCTGTGGCACCTGGAAGTCTACCCCATTTTATTTGCCCTCTACTTTTCTGACAGTTTGTAACTGGCAAGACTCTGCGTGGATAAAAACGGGTCGCCTGCTTGGCAGCGCTGAGGAGTCCTGTGTGACCCTGAGGCTAGTGTGGCACCCTTTGCCATGCCAAATAACACGAATCCTTGCAACTGGCCCTGGGGCTGCTGCTGCTGCTGCTCCCTCCTCAGCGAGTGAATCTGAAACAAGGGCTGGGCCAGCAAAGAATCTCTTGCAAACAAACCCACAGCTTGCAAAAGTTACTTTCCTGGGGCCCTAACTTCAAAGACAAGCAAGCAAGGGACTGAATTGCAATTCTCTTCCTCCCTCCCGCCCTCCAAAAAACAAGAAGGAATCCTCTCCCCCCCCCCTTCTTTCCGGCCAGTGCAATCCCAAAAAAGTAACTTTTCCACCTCGGGGAACTTTGCAAAGGGATTTCCCCTTTGCAAACTTCCCCTTTTTTAGCATCACCCTTTCCCTGTTACACGAAAGGCGTTTTGCTTCAGCTTCGTGCCCGCAGATTTAATGCAGCCCCCCCTCGCCACGACCCTCAACCCCGGGGGTTCTTCAGCCCGGGGGGGTGGGCAACATGCGGCCCTGCAGCCGCTGCAGGACTACAACTCCCATCAACCCCAGCGCGCCTA